TGAAGGCCTAAGAAATTACTGTCACTCTTTTGTTCTTAATTAGGCCTTATAAGTCAAGTTACTACAGCATACAAACAGAGGCTAGTTTTGTGAGATCAATTAACGAGGACAGAATGTACTGACTAAGAAAGAGGTAGGGGAGCTGCATAAGCAGCATATTTCAGTAACTTCAGTACAATGCAACTGTGAGCATTTTTCCCCTCCATCTTAAAGTTACAACCATCCTCAAGAATGGAAAAGCTGTAGTCTAAAAATACTGTGATTTTTTTTTTGTTGATGAATTACTACTTTTATGCACTGTGCACATTTGAACACTTACTTTTCCCTCACATGAATTTTGACTAGGAAAGCTATTTAAGCAAACAATATTGCTGTGGTTCACTTAGTAGTTCACACAATAATAAGGACTACAGCTACCAAGAAATACTAATCTTGCAATAAATTTTTGAAACATTTTTCATAAGGATATACAAAAGAAATTCAAGCACTGAAGTTGCTTTAAAAAAAGATTTATCAGAGTATTCCTGTACACATAGTCATGAGCTTTCTAAGGTATAGGGTTTTTTTGTTTCATTTTATTAGATTTGTTTGGAAAAGGGGGGTGGGGAGGAGGCAAGGAGGGAAGGGTGTGGTGTGAGGAGACGGAAGTGGGGAAAAGGCAAAAAAAAGGACCCATTTTCTAGAAGATGAACTGAAGCAGAAGATGAACTGAAGCAGCATGCTTCATTGATTGCTGAGACAGGAGCATTAGCTCTGTGTTGCAGATACCTCATCTACTAGATGTAGGTAATGCCATCTTCTCTCATCCTCACTTCACCTAATGCCATGAGGTTGTATGATCTATAGTTTTACAGGCCCAGTAAGGAAGAAATATATGCCGGGAAGAAAAAACTTTTGAAAAAAAATAATCTTACTTCTAACAATGGGTAGGAAGACAGGATACCTCCTTACCTGCTCTTATTTGGAATGATGCCCTTTTCCAGATCACTTCCAATTCTTACAGCCAGCCAGTTTCCCAGTTTGCCATCATACAGCGTATCAACTACTCTAAAGATCTCGCCTCTGGTGAATGCTAAGCTCTGTGGTGATTCTTTTTCACACTCAAAGTGAGTCCTGATGAAGAATGAATCTCCTCTGCCACAGGCCATGATGTCTCTGTAAACTAAAACACGAATTCCCATTTATTTACTCTTTCAAATATGAAAAAGTATAAAGCTGTCATTCTAGAGAACAGTTCTGAAGTCTTCCCACACACACACTCAAAAAAAACCCCCAAAATCAGCCTTCACATCCATTGCCCTTACACACACTTTATCCAGAGTGTTCTATACTTGAACACATACAGTCCTTAAAGGTACTTGCACCTTCCCAAAGCAAAAGGCAGCTTCAATATTACTGCAGGCTGTGTCTCCAACAGGAAAGCAAGAGGCTTTGCTTGCTCCTTAACTGTTCATCCATAAACCTGTCCATTTGCTGCTGTCTGACTGAATCCTTTATGACTGCCAGAAAAGGAACGCTAACATCATAAGATCTTAGGCCAGCTGGTACAGACAGAAAAGCAGAAGGAACAAGCAGTAAATTGCCATGCTTCAGGATAAGCATAGATGCTATCTGCTAATAAGGAGAGATGGAGAAGTGCTCTGAAAAACACATTACACACGCACACCTGTACGACCCTCATGGTATGGAATACAGCTATCTTTTAAAGGACTGAAAAGGAGAATAAAATGCTATCAGAAATAAGCACAACAGAGATTATTTGTGGTTCACTGACAAAACAGCTTCATAGATATACACACATTTTGTTCAAAGCACCTACCTTCATATTTACTTTGAGCCAAAATTGTTACTGTTTCACCTTTGGGAATTTCTAAGAGATACAAAACAGCATCTTCCCGAACAATGCCTCTGAAGTCTTGAGTGTTTACCTAAGTACAAAACCCAACAAATAAAATATCAACACCTGAAAGATCAACAATAAAAGGAGTAACCATAGATTTCTGTTTCGTGTAAAAAAAATAAAAATCTTAACTACTCTTTTCCATTATTATGCTTTATTTTTTAAGGCAATATTGATGTTCATTGCGATAAGAAATATTACAGCAATTAACAGCAATCTTTCTGAAGTAACAAGGTCTGGGATGTGTACAGCTAGATTGTTTCTTTAACAGGCTCCAGAAGACCTTGAAAAATCGAGGCTATCACAAGAGAAAAAAGGCAGAAAAAAAAGATACATTAGTTTCCTATTTTAATTTTCGTCAAAAAAGAAGAATGTAAGAGGACAAAATGACATAGATGATATAATTCAGAAACTGGGAAAATAAATCACTGTTACCCAAGGAAACTGGAGGAGGATGAAAGAAGAAAAATATCCTGGCCTTGTTTTGCCCCTCATCCAAGAAGCATTGTACAGAAAATTTATTCTCCTATCTTTGGACATTTTTCTTGATTAGCATTTTTCTGCTTGCTCCTTTCTTTTAAACAAACTAAAGCTTGGCATGTAATCTCCCTCAAAAACTCATTTCTCCATCATACATATACACTTCTAAAGCAATCACTTGACTTCCTAAGATCATAATTTCTTCCATATTTCCACCAAGAAGAAAACAAAACACACAAAGGTGATTTGCATTCCAGGGACACATACTTCTACTCATACCTTAAGAATCTGGTCTCCTTCCTGCAGTCCCTCCTCATCAGCTGAAGTGCCTTCTTGAATTCCAGCAATAAATATCCCTACATCATTTCCACCAGCCAGTCGTAGACCAACACTGTCCCCTTTCTTGAATCTCACCATTTTTGTATTAGGACTACAAGATTTACAGACAGGAAATGGAAGTAAGGCCAGATGTTAGGCATATGATAATAACAGGCTGTTGAGAAAAACAACTGCAACCCATTCAACAAAATCATATTAGTAATATTCTTGGTCCCTTTCTTTCATTCTTTAGGCTGTATTTACTCAGGTAAACACTGAAGGAAGGAAGCGGAGAATTTGCGTTTTTCAGAGTGAAAACTGAACTAGGAAGAGCATCTAACTGGTATACACAGACTGAACAGAACAGAAAAAACTCCCTTTTCTTGAAGTCCCAGAATAATCCCCTATGTATTAGATCCTTTCTCAGAGGCTGGGTTTTTTTTTGTGAAAACACTCGAGTTGTAAATAATCATTGTTCTTTCCTCTGTACGCTTAAGAACTGTCATATGAATTAAATTTATACCTATTTTATTTGCAGTTTAACATGTCTGTTAGATGGAAGTCCTCAAGTTCTCTTGTAATAAGAAGTATTTCCAAGTACACTCTATTACTGTGTTAAAAATCAGTCCTTTCACATTGCAGTGGGAGGTGGCTACTGAACTAGGTTCAGCTTTTTTGCTGTCAGAAAAGCTGTATGTCTGACTGACCTTCCAACACAAGAGGACAGTACTTATCTGTCAGCCTTTCTCAGTAATACCCTAAGCCTGTATTATAAATTCCCCTTCACCAAAATAATCACTTCATTAATCTGCACATCAGTGACAACATACGCAGGGTCCAACCCAGAAAAGATCTGAGAAGAGAATCCGTTTAAGAAAATACTCCAAGCTACAGAATATCCTCAAAACCTTATCTCTAGGCTTCTCTTTATAATCTCAGTGCTCCTCTCCCTTCTTTAGTCAGAAACTCTCAAAGGAAAACATGGAAATTGATTTAGTATTAATACAGTTTGAAACTTTAAGTACCTAATTATTAAAGAATCACCAGTACTAGGTTCTATTAGAAAAAAAAAACCCACGAGTAAATTTTGTAAGCAGCATTTGGTTCACATCTAAGCAGAGACCAGAACTACAACAGGCTTGCATCTGAAGAAAAGAATTTCTGCATAGAAGTTTCCAGCTTGTATAAAAACACATGTATGTTTGGCTTTGTCTTGCAAGACGCTAATTTACAAATTAAATAGATGTCATTCTCTTTGTATCTTTGTACTGTGGGGAAAGGGAGGTTTGTCTTTTGTGTACACATAAAATAACAGAAGAGGTGTAAAATACATTTCCATAGAACTGCACAGGTTAGAATGGCCCTCTGCTTAAAACAGGTTGATCAGGGCCTTGGCCAGTTATGTTTTTTAGCATTTCTGGCAGTGGATATAACACAACCTACAAGGGCAAGATGTTCCAGTGGTTAACGACCTCATCATAAAAGCTTTCTTCTTGGTATCAAGTCAAAATTTCCCATACTTCAGTTTGCATCCCTTGCTCTTTGTCCTACTACTGTATCCCACTGAGAAGAGTATGGCTCCATTTTCTCTACGCACTACGTATTGTTCACGGAAGACAGCAATAAGATGCCCCTGCAGTCCTCTTCTCCAGGCTTAACAAACCCAGTTTTCTCAGTGTTTTCTCCTATGCCATACACTCCAGCGTATCAATGTACTTCTCATCCTGGGGAGCCCCAAAATGGACACAGTACTCCAAATACTGTGCACCAAGTACCGCCAACAAGAACAGATAAAAATATACCATTGTGTATGTTCCCATGCAAGCCCAGAAGCATAGTTCTGTAACTCCTGGGTAGAAGGCAAGTCTACATTTCCAGGCAGGTACTTCTAAACCTAAGTTTTAACTCAAATTTGGTTGGTGAGAAACCATGTCATCTCTTCTTGGCATTAAGCTATAAAAGGAGTATCACTCCAATTAGGCAAAAAGACAGAACTTCAAAACCAAACCCATGCAACCAACAACCAGGTAGATGTCACTGGAAAAACACTCAGTGCAAAAGAACACAGCAAGTGCTGCCTTACCCATATATTGCTTCATCTTCAGGGCTGGGTTTAAGAATCGTTCTTGTAACTTTTGGTTGAGATGCTGGATGTGAAAAAGCCAACAGAAGTTACTGAGCTGTTACAAGAAGTTGTAAGTGGCAGCAATTTTTAACTATCTGATAGCAACCAAACCCCTCCAGGCCAGATTTCAACTTCAAGCATCTCTGACTAGAACCGATTTACTTCCCTTTTTTAAGTCTTGAAAAAGAACAAAGTTCAGGGGAGGGATACACAACTCTTTCAAGTAAGTCAGATAAGACTTCAGGTATAGCTTCATTTGGTTGCTTACAGTGATAGGCTAGTAGATGCTCTAGTAAACTACTTGCTTTTTGAGGTGGTAATTCTGATAAACAACTGCCTTCAAACAATCTCAGGTGTTTCTTCTCTCCATGCACTACTAAGCAAAGACAGACCTTGTCTCTGTGTGTAAGGACAGGGTTAACAGAAAGAGTATACTAGATGTCAACATGACAGGGGGAGTAGACATTCTGTGGCCAGGGGGAAAAAACAACCAAAAGCTTCAGATTCTGACCTGCAGGGTCATCTTGATACTTCAGTTCTTTTTTTATGTCCACAGCTGTAACAGTAGGAGTAGCAATGTCACTACTCGACTTGAATGGTGTAGGCATTGCTCCCATCCTGGACATCCTACTGGATGGATCATCTTTTGCACTAAAAGAAAGAAAAAAGTGTAGTGAAATTGTATAAGAATGCTATGTATTTTAATAATTTCTTTGACAAGCATTAGAATAGTGGACTACAAAAAAAGTAGAAGTCACTTCTCACTTTGTTTTCTCTTTCAGCTTTTCATTGGATGAATGTGAATCTAGATCAGAATGATGTAATCCGTCATCTTGAGGGGAGAATGACCTGTTAGACTCTACTTCAGAAATGTCTGTGAAGAGAACAGCAAATGAAGAAATGCAGGATTTGTTTAAATTATCTGCACACGCCTCTGATCCCGGGTTATTTACAAAGATTTCACATTTAAGGTAAACTGAACTTTTAAATCTACTCTCATTACAAGTTGGATTTGACTAGCATTCCAAAAGTGCTACATGCCTCTTAGTGCTTCCACTTGCCCATCACCCTGAAAATATTTCAGGAAGGTTTCACACAATCTTTAGTAAACACACATCACAAAACTAACTTGAACATACCACAAGCTCATTAACTAGTGTTAGCAGCCTTTTACTTGGGGTCACATATAGGTTCCCAAGCAGAAGAACATGTTCACATTAAAAGTCATCCCATCATTGCTTTTCAGCCATGAAAGAAAGAGTAGTCCTTAGACCTGAACCATATCTGTCTTCACAGTAAAACTTACAAAAGTTGCACCCAGTATTCTGACATCAGAGATGCAAATATCCTGCAATAAATAACATCCTGCTCTCCCCCAAATCCTAAACCCTTTCCAAAGCAAGATTATATTGAGAAATATTGCTCTTACACCATGAGAGATCATTTTTACAGAACAGACACTGGAAATAGAAAGCAGTTGTCCAGAGGGACTTAAATCTCCTCTTATTCTGGAAATTCTTCCCTCTTGTTGAACACTGTCATGAATGCTAATGCCCCCAGAAGAAGAGAGCAGTCAATTCATTTGTTTTTAAAACTGAACTCTTTTATTAAAGCAACTGACTTGTTATTCAGAGAAGGAAGACTGACTTTGCTAGGCCAACAACGCTGCTTCTATATGCCCCTGCCCAAACTATAATCATGCGATTACTACAAAATTTTTCTTTCACCTAAAGGAAGTGAGCTTAATGCTTAATCGACCATTAATTAGGTTTCTTTGTGTTTAGTTATATTTATTAAGAACCTAGCTCCACTCTGCATAGTTCAGAACTTTTTATCCACAATAGACCTCACCATCCATTTCTGAGTCACTGTCGTTCAGTGAAGGAATGTTGAGCAGTGTCTGCTTTCTGTCCCTGAGGACAACCAGCTGGAGCTTTCCCCGTGACTTTTCAATCAATTTTCGGGCATCAGCTAAAGACATATTCTCTGTCACTGTACCATTGATCTGCACGTAAAAAGGCAACAATAACATGAACAAGTAAACAAACAAGTCCATACTGTGCGCAAGTTTAGCAGTGAACTTAACTATAACATGACTTACTCCAAAGTAACCATACTATAACAAGTGCCTGCTAAACAGCTAGCAGTAGAAACCAGAACAGACCTTGAGAATGATATCCCCTTCATGAAGGTTGCCATCTTTGGTTGCTAAGCCAGTACAGGTCATTTCTTTTATGAAGATCTGACTTCCAAGTCGGAGACCGTATTCTGGAATCAGGGAAATAATCCACTGTATTTTAGAAGATGAGTGAGGGGGCATTTTTTTAAGATGACAGTGTATATGCAGCACACCTCATTACACCATGAGAAAATACAAAAAATGCAGACCTAGTAAACCCACTTAACCCTAGGCTAACTCTTCTTTCTCAGTGCTGTCATTATAGTGGGAACAAACAGCAGTCTGAAACCAACCATGGGTGATTAGTCTGGACCTTCAACAGCAATAGAATGCCTTTGTTCTGTCTGCTTATTAACATGCTGGACTAAATTATCTCTCTGTATCATATTCTGCATGGTATAGAGAGGGAAAAGGGTCAGAAAGTGCTTACAGAAGAGTGTTTTTTTTTTTTTTTTAAACCAGTTACTTATTGCATGCTGACCTGTCCTATCGGTAGCCCAGTAAGTGTTTTCAGTTGTTTCAAGCAAAGGGCATTCCATGCCCCCTTTATTCTCTTTGATACAAGTTACTTGGATCAGTGTATTTACTATTTAAAAATAAAGGCAACAGTCTTAAAGCACATACATCCTAGAACAACAGACAAGGAAAGAAACACTTACATGCTCAAAAAAAAAAAGAAAAATTAAAATCACATTTAAGTGATTCTTCAGAGTATCCTTATGAATGGCAGAAATTATTATGGAATTAATACCTACATATAAAACTTCACAAAGACACCTTAAGTTTCTCCTTATTTGCATACCTATCTGCATTATCTTTGAAAGTAGAAACATTATGTGCAGGGAAAGAAGAGGAAGGAGGAAAAGGGATCCTTGCCAGAGTCCATGAAAAAAAAAGGTTAGCTCTTCCATGCGAAGATTATGTGAGCAAAAAATTCTTGCATAACAGATTTGAAAAATAAAAAACACCCCCCACAAAACTTCCACAAACCAAGATGCTCCCTCCTGCCAAAACCCCCCCAACAAAGCCAAAACCAATAACCAACTCTCCCCACCCGCAAAAAAACCCAACAAAAACAAAACCCAAGAATACCCTGAAAACAGAAAAGATGTACAACCTAATCTCAGATACACTTTATAGCACAGGAGTATTTCACATCAAATGAAAGATTAGGCTTTCGGCATTCATTTACACACTCTTAATACTCAGCAAGGAAAGGCTGTTTCAGCTGTTGCTATTTCAGTATTCTTTAACTACATCCTGAAGTATGAGACCCAAACAATTCAACAATCCTTGGAACTAATTTAATTATACTGAAGGACAGAAGCACACTATTGAAGGCAGAGCCTACTCTTCACCCACTGTAGCTGACCCTTTTATACATGTGCCAACTGTAATCTGAATCATGATCAGATCCATGTTTCCTACCAGAACCAGAAGAACAGGGCAGAGATAATGGAAAACTGAAGGACACAGTGGCTTTAAAGGACTGAAATGATGTGGGCGAACAGTTCTTTGTTCAAAGGTAAAGTTCAAGGTGCTGAGGGAAAAAACACCCCAAACCAGCCACAGAAAATAAAAGAACAACCTAAGCAGTCAGTTTGAGAACTCAAAAAAAGCAGAGAATATTCAGCTCCTTTCCCTCCCTGACAAAAGTAACACGTTGTATTACAAGACAGCTCCTCTCTTCCCCTCCTGTACCTTCATTGTGTCTGCCTTTAGTTAAGAGAACGCTGATTGGTCCATTCTGATCCTGTTGTCCTAGGTACTCATACTGACGGTGTATTTCAGGAGAAGGACTTCGGGAACGAAGCCTGTCCCGACTTCGACTCCTCACTTCCCTCCCATATCCAGGATCAGGTTGAAATCCATGACTACAGCTGGGTGGGCTGTAGTCTCCTCTGTAGTCCCGTTCATAGCCACCATCCCTGTCAATGCTCCTTCCCCTGCTCCGATCTCTTCTATAGTCTTGATCCAAGCTCCTGTCAATGCTCCTACCACGACTTCGATCATGGCTGTAGCTGCATTCCCTGTCACGGTCTCTGCTTCGGTTACGCCCTCTGTCTTGTTCATCTCGATAGCTCTGATCCAGGCTGTTTCCCCAGCTTTGGCTGCGCCCTCCATTACCACTGTGCCAACTTCTGTCACTGTAGCCACTTCGAGCACTTTTGCCATCAAATTCTGCATGGTTATCCATTACATCTAAAGCTCTGTCCTCGTAATCAACGGAGGGACATCTCTTCAACGCAGCAGCCTGCACTTTCCTTGGTCTTTTCACAACCTGTTTAGTGCAATACAGAACAACCAACCAAAAAAAACCTCTTACGGTCAGAATGTGAAATTCAACAGATGAATATTCTTCACAATGGATTCAGAGAAAACTCTCACACTTCAAATGGGGGTAGACGGGAGGGTGAGAACAATGTTCTACCTACAGAACAACCAGTAAATTAGATTATATAGATGGGCATAAGAAATACTTAGTAACTGGGATAAAAAAAATAGAATTAAAAAAAAAAAAATCAGAGCAGCAACCACATACTTTTACCTCTGCAAAAGTACCAGTAATAAATACTTATTTTCTTTTTCTAGATGACTTGTAAAAAATGTGACAAGCCCCAATAAGACAGAGTTGTAGATGCCTCTCAACTAGTGAAAGCCGATCTGCACAGCAAATTCTTGGACAAGGTCTGTTATGCAGGACATCACATGCCTCACGTAACTTTTGTGTTTTTTCTAACTACCACTCATTACTCACTAAAATTGAAGATTGAGGATATACATTTTTCAAAAGAATAACTTCGCGATGCTGTTTATTTTCCACTTGTTTCACTTGTAGAAGCTATGTCTTTGCTTTGGTTTATTTACTGTCTACACCATACTGGGCAAAGGCTTGCTTTGCTTTATGCACTTACAAGACACTTAATACAAGAAAACCAAAATCTTACACAGGTACATACCAATGTAAATTGGACACATCTGTAATTTACTTACAATGGTGGCAACTTTTCCACTTTTCCTAAGCTGCTGAACTGCAAACGAATGTGGAACGTTTTCCATTGGGGTCCCATTAACTATGATCACCCGGTCATTTTCTCTGGAACATGAAAAAGGCAAAAAACGAAGAGAATAAGAAAAAAAAAAAAAAGAAAAAAGGGAAAAGTATTTGAGTCTTCATGAAAACTGGAACAATCTATGTTTTTTTCTAGGAGAACCTTTAGATTCCATTTACTTTAACAGGGAGTTTTGTTATACAAGCACTACAATACCTGAATAAGCTTTTAGTATGTTTAGAAGCTAGACTTTGTGAAGCAGTGTATATCTTTGTACATGTACTATGCCCATCTTAAGTACCTTGCCAGAATGTCAAAGATGATTTTCTTTTAAAAGAATTGTGATGACCATTAAAACATTTTTTTTTTCTTTTAAAACTCCTTGTCTTTCACATCTAGTGGTAGGGGTTTGGTTGGTTGTTTTTTTTTCGTATCAACATAAGAATTTCAAGAGAGCTTCAAACTGCTGCAGCCATTACACTGTTCTGACAAATCCCGAAACGTATCACTCCAGTGCACTTTTCTAGAAGACTGGTATTGAGGTCACATCTACTCTGCAGAAAGGTGACTGGGGAAGGAGAAAGGAGGAGAGGGGAAGAACAATGACACTATAACCCACAAAAAGTCCTCCATACGTTAAAACATAGACCAAAAGAGATTACTAACTGGGCAATTCAGACCTCCTGCATGTCAAATACACCATTAAGACTTAATTCAGTCACCCCCAGGAGACAGCCCCATAATGACTAATTGAAAAACCAGTTTCTTGCAAAAAGGCATTTCAGCACAAGAAATGAAGAAGGTGAAAAAAAAGATAATAAAAAAATCTACCACTCCTTGTATTAATTTAATCTGGTGACTACTCAGTTACTAACCTTACAGTCAGACCATTAGCTTAACCAACTACTGGTTACTGTATGTTTTATGCTAAATAAAAGAAATCTTTATACCCATTATTTTCTTTTCACTGTAATCAAGTCACATCACAATCGTCTTTTTAATTAAGGTTACATTCTTTAAGCCTTTCTTTGTAAGGCACCTTCTCCAATTCCTGAATGATTTTTGTGCATCTTTTCATACCTTTCCAACTCCTTTTACTGAATGAGTATGCCAGAACAGCATGCATTATTCCAGTATCAGTTTCACCTGTGCTTTATGCGAGAGTTAAAATAGTTCGCAGTCCAAAGATGATATCAAATATTGTTAACACTACCTCAAGAGCTCCCATCTCTGTATGCTCACTCAACCTTAGAAAGGATTGCAGGCTTTTAATTCCCCCTCCACTCTGAAGGTTAGATCTATATTCCTTGGTTTGCTGGAGGAATGGCTTTGCATTCAGTTTTCTTCAGAATGTACTTTGTCTGAATGTGCCCGAATTGCTTGATATTACCTTATCATCAATTTACCTAGTATCTTACATAATTTGTGGACATTACTTTATTCCCAAATCCAGGTTAATTATGGAACAGAATGGCTGATAGTGGTGTTGTGTAGGGGTCACCGCTATAAACCAAAGAAATTGCTTACTGAAGTAATCCATCTGCTGGACCACCTGGGAGAACATCCGAAATGACTATTGATGTTTCACCATTTTCAAAAAGAGGGTTATCTCTGCCGCCAGAAACTGCAATCCCAAATCCTCGTTTTGAATCCTTTACAACAACAACAAAAAACCAAACAAACAAAAACAAACAAGAAAAATCAATCCCAGCCATATGCATTTTGATAAGGAGAAATAAGGTAACATGAATGTTCCTGTAATGGCACCCTACCTCAACATTATTTAAAATATGACAGTTGTGTGCAGAGAGTTGCAGAAATACACAGCACCCCTAGATTTAAAAAAGGAATTCGTTTACAGATCAATGGAACAAGACAGTATGTTCCCATGTTCCAAAACCTCAGTCTACAGCCTTGTGACAGTAATTAAGCAAAGGACTCACTGGCTTAGCCTGCATTTTGTTCCACCGCCCCACTAGTTCTTTGTATCAAATTTACTGTCAGATAAATCTATTTTTTTTGTGATGCCTGGAAAATTGTAACAGCTTTTCCAGGATCTCATCTTTATCAATATTGCTATCTAGTTTGTAATTACTTACTCTTTGGCCAGACTAAACAAGATCAGGGCTGATTACATAAAGCAATCAGTGAACCTGGAAATTCTCTATAATTATCCCCTCTCAGAATCAACTATTTTAAATACGTAATTTATGCCAAGCTTATAGTCATAGAAATACCAGATTCATAGAAGCCCTAAGATGGCGTTCATAAAATCATTCACAGACTCAGGGAAAAACAATTAGGATCTGAAGGAAGCACATCTGTAACACTAGACCTGACTACTGCTAGCATAACTGAACTGCAGACAAGAAGGTGTGTGTAAAACCACACATTTTGTTAAACACAAAGGTTTATGTTTATCAGCTATTTAATGTACACTTACTATAACATACAAATTATGTTGCATTTAACAAAATGTTTTAACATAGTGCCAAAGTAATACACCAAAATAAAGTGTTGCTGTTCTCTTAACTCACATTTAGTGTGCAGTCTATCAGATGCCAGCTCACATTTCATTAATGTCAATATTAATTGGTTATTCCTTTGAGGAATTTTAAACAGCACTTCACTTCCCACACCTTTGTTTTACAGGAAGCAGCTTGATGCCTTGAGCCAAAACAATACAGCTTCAAAATAACAGTAAAATTCAGTGGTAATAGCTGAGGCACCACGTCCAATAGTCTTTGCCACTTCAGTAGTTTAAGCCTGTCTCTGAGGCAAAGAAGTAATGCTCATTTACACAATATTCAAGATCTGAAAACTTGGACATTACAGGAACTAAGGTCTGGTTCTACAGTGTTTCTCCTGTCTACCTCTGTAACCTAGAAAACAATTTTTTCTCAACAATTCAGCACATGAAACAAGAAAGATCACTATTTTACACTAGGTCATCCAAGTTGAGTTCATTGCAGAACATGTGAAAAGATGTAAGGAGCACAGTAGAGGTTACTCACTGAACTCAGATCATCAGAACAGTTGAGAAGACCACCACCATCAAAGTGTATATCCTGTACCAGTGTGTGGCAGCCTAGCCATTGTAAACAAGTGGTCTACTATAACTTAGAAGGGCTCTATATAATGAGATGGTTCCTCTTTTCTCAGAAAAATTGCTAAAAGTGACATCAGTAGCCCACACACTTTAGAATTTGGTGACAGTAGTTTTCTGCTAGATTCTACATTGGTAGATATTAAAGTATATAAAAAATAAAAGCAGTGCAAACATGTTCAGTTATTATTATAAGCTTGGACATTAACTACAACTGCTTGATAGAACCATCTGCTATATGGCTGGCATGTGGTATATTACATTGTCATGACAAAGACCAAACATCAGCAAATGTATTAGCACTTAATTTGTTAATTTAATTTACTCTTAACATTAAAGAGTCACACTATTGCATGAGTAACTAACTGGCAATTAACCTTGAAAATGGAAAACATGCCTGATCTGGACAATAAATTAATCCTATTCCAGACTTAGATATGCTAATAACATCTATCGTAAAATATAGCTAAGAGTAAACCAGGGCTTGAATATCTGTAAACTAAAAATATAACAGGCACTCACTCACCTTTTGTAAGGTCACAGTGTACTGTTCCCATATCAGCTCTTCCATGCCTGGGGCCTGTTACACACAGAAACCGATTAGTAAAACACAAAGGCTACAACTATCTCAATTAAAACGTGAAATACCCTATTAAAACATAGGTATAAAAATAATATGCATACTCTGATAATTTCGTAGAGATAGTATGAAATGTATGTACTTCAATTAATTATGAATTTTCTTTTAAAAATATTAATAGGTCAAGGATGGTAGAATCCCTTCACATTTCTCCTATTTAACAGTTCATTCCAATTTTCTGTAATAGTATTACCTAGCAAAAGCGTTTAATCCAGATCATACCGGCATTATACAGCCCCACTTCAAATAACACACAAAATACTCTCCACTCCGGTATGCAGTAAGTTTACCAGTTAAAAGTGAAGCTTTCAAAATGAACTAGCCTTCAAATCTTTTGCTTCTTGCTCATGTGGATTTAACAAAATGTTCATCCACTATGAATTACATAACCGAGTATTTAGCTTCCACTTGAAAAATTAATTTCTGAAGGAAAGCACAGTGTGTCACTATACAGCACTGGTATATTCAGTTTTGTGACACTTCTCAGAAACATTCTTTTCCACATTTCCAGTTAAAACTGATCCTGAACTCATCAGTTTATCTGATATAACCTGAAATCTTTCCAACATCACAGCTTAAAATATAATACAGAATAATCACATTGTGATGCATCATATAATATACAGCCAACCCCTTCAGTGCCTTTAAAATGAAAAGAAAAATGAACCACAATCTTTGATGCAATGCAAATATTTCAAAATCCAAAGCATCCATTGCAGGAAAAAAATCCAAGAATTACATGAGTACGTACATGCTATAGGGTTATCTGGTTTTACTGCGAAAAGTGGTGATCTCTTTCAGGAATTTGTTAAGAATTTTCTTGAAAAACTGAAGTTCAGACAGAAGCTCAGTTTTTACTTAAACAGTCTTTTTAAAGGCATTAAAGGAATTATTGGCAACTAAACTCCAAAACAATAGACAGAGAAGGGGCACAAGAAGGGTATGCCTGTACTTTAAGTCTTCTGGAAGTACAGAACAGTTTAGCAAGCTATGGACATCATCACTGGAATGAAAAGAACCCTACAGTGTATTCTTCAGTGGATTCCGAGCACCCCAAAGAGGAACCAGATTTACATTTTCCATTGCACATTCACTGTATTAAAAAACAAACTTAAAACACAAGTCCTGGTCAGAATTTCTGAGGGAATATGCAAGATATTCAGCATTCTTCAAGAATTTTATAACACTGAACTGTGTTAAATTTCCACTGTTCTCTCAGAAAATGCACAATGCTCTCCAGTTTCCAGAACCTTCTGGATGTTACTGAAATTCATTAAAAATAGCTGGAGCAGAGGATGACTTGCATTAGAAATAACAGAAGTATTTCTAAATTTCTACTTGTCTAGACCAGGCAAGAATGAGTCACATTTATAATTGTTAGTGTTATTATTATATTAGTATGTCTTAGGTCAGGGAATTACTCTGCTGAAGCACATGATGAAGTTATTTTATCCGATATTCCCATTTAACCAGTTGACATGTCTGACCCTTCAACTTGCTGACAAGTTTCACTAAATATATTCCCTTACAGAAAGAACTTTCCAAAAGTAAAGATTTTCTCCTTAACTAAGCACTTTTTCTGAGCCATTGTTACGCTGCCATAAATAGAATGCTTGTCTGGCTTGTATGAAAACGTGTAAACAGTTTACTTACTAGTGACCCTTAGCTCCACCATCACTGTCCTGGCTCTTCTATATGATATATTTAAGCTCTGCAGAAAACCAGTCTGTGCTAAGGAAGGGCCTCAGTGCCTTTTTAAGTTCCAGTTGACTTAACTGAAGAAAGTTTTAGAAATGAAAGACAGCATCAAATGATGGGTAAAATCTGAAGGACAAGCAGGTGGAATCAAATTTTGTAGAAGCAGGGGAAATGGAAAATCTTTTCCATCTTTCTCTCTGCATAAAAGCCTCAAAAACTTACATGTGTAACAAGAACATCACTTATATTCAGTTTGTACTGTATGCAGTTCTTACCAACACTACCTCCCAGCCTAGAATACTCAGTCCAGCCCTGTGCAGGCAAAATAGCAAGGCAGGCAGGATGCAATCGACCAGAGCTTACTACCTGTGGGGACAAAGAGCAGCATAGTTGCCTTACTCTTCCACGAACTCTAACATCAGGTCTTTCAATATGCTACCTACTGAAAGGCCTGAGAAATGACTACTTGTTCAGTACAATACTGCACTGAACAAGTAGTCAATACTGCTGCAGTCAATACTGCAGAAAAAGGACTGAGAAAAGCACAGTAAAAATGTCAGAGACAGTTTTAAGGGTATGAAAGAGGTAAGTTCACAGAAATTTTCCTTCCAGAAAACTAGGCCTGCCATGAGAAGC